TACGACTGATATACAATGACTAAAAATTATTCCTTCCCCCAGTCTCCACTAAATTCTTCACCCCCGAGTGCCACACACTTATATTGAAGTCTGTCCCATTTATTTGAGGTGGATTTCTCCAAAACATTAGAGTGTCTGGAGCAAAATCATATCTAGAAGTCCCTCACATAAGTCAAATGAAGTTTAGTGATATATAAGGCACCAACTTTCACAAAGAAACGGTTAAATTTGCGTTCCCGCATGCTCTTGCCAGATATTGCAGAAGTGTTCATGTATTTCTAGGACGAGTCCCGAGCTGGGAAACGAGTAACAGTAAGCTAGGATATCACTGTGTTCCGCCATAAGTGAATTTAGGATTATTTTCATCTCAATCACTGTAGGAAAGCTAATCAGGTCAACGAACATTGCAATTTCCGCTTCGAATTCTTCACCCCGGGTGGCACCATTCCGCGCCCCCATATGTGGGGTTATGCACGGTGTGAAATGATGACTTTAAACGAGACTGCTGATATTCTTGTTTTATCAACTTGTTTATGAATAATTTACCTCGTTTTAGAATTTGTTCATACGTAAAGCATGCTCTCACGTATCGAATCAACTGAAATATATAAACTCCATATGCAGGTGATGAAGGTATATTATATATTTAAGGTTCATAAACCCTCTGCTCACTCATATAAAATGTTGCTTGAACCTTGATTTCCCAAGAGAAATGTAATTTATAAGCACAATACTGACAATTTTAGCATAGCTTCTGGGGCAAAATTTGACAAAAAAGGCACCTCAACTTGGCAAACGTATAAAGGAATAATAGACATTTATGTCATTAAGAGTTATCTCTCTTATTAAAGTATCAATGACCCTTAAATGTCGAGTTGACAAAGTAGGAAGACACCTCGGTTTATACAGTCTCATTCGAAGGACTGGTCTCCATGTCTCACAGTGAGATTCGAACAGCGACGTAAAGATCAACTCCTTACTTCGCGACTCTAGAACAGACGCTCTAGTATTAGTATATTTTTTGTATTTTTTTTTTCATTTGTAAGATCTGTTCAATTTTCCTAAATATTTTCAAAGGGTGATTGATGTTGGTTCCAAATTAAATGTGAAGCAATTCTTTGCAAAATGGAACAGAACGGTTGCTTTGGATCAATTTAAACTTATCTGTAGATAATTTTAAAACTTTTAATGTAACGCTTCCCTAATCAGTATTTTACAGACACGAAAAATATTCTAAATATCTAAGACTGTATAGTGATTTTCTATATATAGAGATGGAATAAATGTCTTTATCGTAAAACTTCAATCATTCTTTATCACGAATGCAATGTCCCTTACTATTTCCTGTTATGAATAACTTTTGAAAATTAATGCATTTCTAGAATATTTCTTTGTGATGTGAAATTTCTTTTATCCTACATGTTACTTATTCTGTAATGTCTACAATGGTTTTAAAACGTCTTAAAGAAAAATAACCTAAATTTTGTTATATATTCAATTCAAGTGATTTCCATAGTAGAATTATATATGAGTTTTCCATTATCTGGAACTTTGCACAAATGCCGAATTAGTCTCTATCTCTCTCTTTTGGAAACTCGTTAATTAATTAGAAATACATCAATCACGATTTTCGGAGAATACAATAAGGGGTCATATAGGTGGACCTTAAATCTAAATCTTTTTTGTGGTTATTATTGTTTTTGCCACTATTCCAAGTTTTGTCATCAAGGTCAGAAAAAGATGGGTGTATTCATGTTTTTGGGATGGGATAACCATTTTTTTTTTCAGAAATGTGCTTTATAACATGTACTTCTTCTTACCATGCCCCATGTTTTTATTGAGATTGTGGTCCTTTTAAATTACAAATGTAATTTATATAAATATTGTTACATTTGTTTTGATAATGTTTACTACCCCTGATTCATGCACTCGAATACCCTGTAGTATGTAAAGAATGATAACTCCTGCATAGACTTGCAGATCATGAATCAAGAATTATTGAAAATTTAAAGTATAAAATTTCATGTTTGATTTTAAAGTTTAAATTTACCATCATAAAGCTAAGTACATGCAGTATTTGTAAGTTTTTAGTCTATTATTTTATCATATTTCGAGAACAGCTAGAGATCCACATCTACATGTACTAGTACATGCATACATGAGCTCCTTCTCTCTCTCTCAAATATTATTTTTAATATAAACATCTCTAAATTTAACTTGCAATTTTAGACAATTTTATTGTGGTGGAAAATATCATAAGTATACCATCGTTTTTTAATAAATGAATAATTAATTATATTGCAATATCTCAGTATACCATTCCTAAAATAACCTCAATGATACTCTTTTTCCGTTTGTTAAAACACACAGCGTTTCTGGGAATCGTTAAATGCTTCAAATGTGTTAATACGCTGCCATTAATAACCAATAATTATTTCAAGATAACATAAGTTATGGTGATAATAATATTGGATGGTGTGAGTTTCCCTTCCGGGTATGCGATAAAACTAGGTCACCTTCGGGTTTAAGGTCGTTAAGAAAATTCTGACACGTGGTTCAGACACACTGATGCTTCGGTATTTTATACTGCAAAAATAATTTGTTAGATGAATGAGAAGTGAATTAAAAGATGGGTTATTTTAAAGAAAATTTGTGTTTATTATTTGGCCAATAATAACATTCACCTATAAATATTTGGTAAATTGTATTTACACGTATTAAAAACATTATTGCCCATTAGAATATCGGTTTAAATGACTCTTTCTGATCGATAAGAAACGAGATAAGTATTATTAAAGTAATAATATTTTGCTTATAATCGTGTTTTGTACTGTTTTAAAAATAAAATCGGGAAAAAGTAAGTAATTCTCAAATAGAATAAAAATAAAATTTCAATTACATGAAAATTCATTCTATTAATTAAAAAAAACCCTTATGATAATAAAAACACTGATACAAATAAACAAAGAAAAAAACAAAAAATCAACTGGAAAAACAACAACTAATAATATAAAAACCTTTACGCTTTCATGATGTAAATTCACCGTACCTTAGCTTCTACATTAAAAAAAAATGAGTAGTTACACTAACTCACTCTCTCTCCGTTTTTCTGTTACCAGTATTTGGATTAAAATTCTGTCAATTGTCCCACCCTCCAAATTGAACTGCATTAAAATAAGCTTTTTCCTTGCACTTACTCTTATTCGCTTTCATTCATTTTGCATTTCCCATTTTGAAAATAGCGCAAAATTTAAAAGAAAAAAACTTTTTTTTAATCCTTTAAAAATATTAAATTCCGTATTTATTATTTTTTTAAATAAAAAAATAGTTTGAACTAAAAAAAAAAAACACTTTGTAAAATTTCAACTGAAATCATGAATCTGTAAAAAAAATTCTTATTGTATACTTACATGCATACATTTAATAATCCACACTATATGATTGTCCAGGAAAAATGTATACCGTTTTTTTTCTTCAGAACAATACAATCCATGTACGTCTGATACACATATCAAAATATTAACAAACATTTTTAAAATAGACACATTTATTGATACATGTCTTAAGTGTTAACAACGCACTGAAAATTACACGGTACAGGAATAAAATTACATGAAGTACATGCATATGTTTTATGTAAACAGGTGCGTACGCAATACACACCACAAATAGAACACGTGTAAATGTTAAACAAGATGTTTAATCCAACAAGTCTCCTAATCTTTAATAACGTGAACATATGCATGTTTTAATTTTGGGTGAGAACTACACAATATCATTTATTTATCTAACCAATAAAAATTTCTCATAATTAAATCATTATAAATTCTGAGGACATTTTTCAAAACAACCTTCATTATACATTTTTAATTTTAATTTAAAAATTTACATAAATATAAATAACATAACATCCATTTATTTATTCACCCAATTCAAATATAAATGAGTCTTCCTAAAATTTAGAAAATATTTTTTAAAATGATTTTTCAAATCATAATTATTTTCAAAAAATGTTAAAGTTGTATTTTTTGAAAACATTATTTTCAGATATGAATTTTATTTTTTTTAAATATATTTTTTGGATAAACATTCCCTTGTATACTTTACAATCAATGAATATTACAGCGTACATATTTTAGGGAAAATTTATATAAATGTTTTAAGAGATACAGTGTAATTATATTTTTATAGTTATTTGAAGACTTTAAATATTGTCAAAGATTGTGTTTCTAATCACTAATAAATAATGTGTATTGAGAAAAATCTGGTCACTTGGTACACATGTCATTAATAAAAGCTTTTACTATGACATCTCAAATTTATTATTTTATTGCCCTAATTTACCAAAAAATTGACACAAAAATGATAATAAAGCTTTAATTTTTATTATTGACTAAAGAGAGAACATGATTTATTTTTGTTATTAATGCAATCTCTTTTGTATTTCCTGTTGCGGAAATACCTCAAGTCATGTTGAGCAATTAGCTATATTTTTGCAATACGTCAAAAATCCTTCATGTTTCAAGATAAATTTATGAGAGATGACCAACACAAAGAAAAAAATATAATCCGACAAAAATCGCTTGTTATCTGTTCGTTAGATCGCAATCAATCCATCTTCTTGGTTTTGACATCTGTACATTGATAAAAATCTGCATATTATGCCGGGAGAAATGATTGTTGCATTTCCCTAATATCATGTGCCCCAAAGAGACGCGACTTGTTTCTCTGTGCACAGCAAAAACCAGTTTCAAAGCACCCAGACTTCTGCAGTTCCAGATTTCAAAAAACAGGCCCGGGGGTGGTCGGGAATTGCAATCTACCCCGGGTATCAGGGTACTTAATTCTCATTCTCGGTCGTGCCAACTAGATAATAGGCTGCAGAAACGGTCCATTAGTTTACATAATTTTTTTTCGCCTGAAAGCTCGTGCAGGCTATTTTCCCGTAGTCGGTTAGTCTACTATAAAACCAGTGATGACGATTTGAAATTTCAGTACACTTCAATCATCATCACTGTCATAGTCATTGAAAAAAATATTTCAATCTGGGACAAGTTACATTGTGATTTCTATTTATCATTGAGTGGATTTATTTTGTGTGTATGACATCAACATGTCACTGGGAAATAACCGCACGGATCATATGGTAAGTCGTATAAAGTGGTTGATATATTTTTCATAGAGGATAAATATTATTTTCATTTTAAGGATTATAGATAATGACTCCCTCATATGTAGAGACATGCTTCTACAACTTGAATGAACTGTAAATAATGTATACACGTCTGGTTTGATTTCTTCCAAATGTTTATAAAGCAAATAATTTTTGTTTAATAAAACACCCACCGGTTGAAAAATATTACTATAAATACATATATATGTATGCACAGTTAGGCGACTTCTGATATTTTTATTTCTATATTTAGGTCTGCAGTGATCCATTATGCACAACAACCTCTGACCCTTATTCGGGCAGGATAACTTGCAGGTGTTTCCAGACCCAGATGCAGGATACGAGGGGAGGGTACCAGCCAAACGGACAGTACCCCTCTATCCCTAGTACCACATACGCCTCCCATTCCATGTACACTAATGGGTACAACATGGACCCACTGTCCAATTCATCATCATTACTGGTGAGATAATTTTTTTTAATTTATATAAATCCTCATTTAATTCTAAAAATGATTTAAAAATTTCAATTGAAATGATAAATTATTATGTTTTAATTTAATTTGATAATCAGTTTAAATTCTTGCTATCTTTTTTAAAAGAAATATTTGAAATAAAATTTAATTAATCATTAAAAAATTTATTTCTTTAAATGATTAATTACAACGGCAAAGCATCACAAAATTACAATCATTATTTAGACATCACGACTCTCTCCTTGTCATATAAACCGACATTAAATTGTTTACGTATCTTTGGCAGAGCTCACAGACGATGCGGATGGACAACGGGTCATATCCGCCTATTCCATCCAGCGCCCTGACAAACGGAGGGCTCCACTCATCTTCTCTGCTCACTAACAACCTCCATCCTCCTCCGAGCACGTTAACCTCAAGTGGAATCACATCAAACAGTTTGACGTCACAGTTTCAAGCGCCCCTTTCACCTAGTCTGGTCACCGCATCCAGCGTGAATAATTTAGACACAGTGTTGCGCTCTCAAGTTTACAACTATATGAATATGCAGTAAGTATACAAAAGATAAATAGCTATTGCTTTATATTAATTATTTAGATATGAATGGTTTTAACTTTCTTATGTCTGATATACCAGGCAGATATAGGTAGGTATTATGCTAGCGGTGAACATCAATCTTGGCTTTTTCTACATGAACTGAGTCATGATATAGCTGACAGGAGTAGTTTTACTCTAGGAGGTCATTGACTAATGAATGTTTGTGTTTACTGTTGACAACGTATTTCCGCCCCTTCCTGCTTAGTCTTAATCCCAGGAACGCCGTATCTCACCTCCTTTTTTTCTTCTCTGTACTAGGTATTCAGGTTTCGACATGAATGGAGGACGGCGTAAAAATGCAACTCGGGAAACAACTGCCCCCTTGAAAGCATGGCTGAAAGAACATATGAAAAACCCTTACCCGACAAAAGCGGAAAAAGTTATGCTTGCCATAGTGACGAAAATGACTCTGACACAAATTTCAACGTGGTTCGCTAATGCAAGAAGGAGGCTTAAGAAAGAAAACAAGGGTGAATGGAATTCGGACAATTCAAATAATTCTAGTGATGAGGATAACACAAATGACGATCTTCCCGCCAATTCTGCTGATCGTTTGTCAGAGGAACCCATTCCTGTTCCATCGGATGAAATCGCAGACGAGAATTCCAATTCTGCGACACGACTTCCAGAGCCAAGCATTCCAATCACGCCAATGAATGCAGGACATGAACTTCGTAAGTATCAATATGTAATCCTCATTCTTATAATCATTAAGTTTAATTATATATTTTACATTCTTTAAATTATTAAGTTTCAATGTGTTATGTGGCTGTCGTTATCCTCATTAAGTTTCAATATGTTCCGGTGCATTTTTATAATAATATTACAAAATGACGAGAAAAATATTTTCTAGAGTGTAGAAAAAAAACAACAAACAAACAAAAAATTTTTACTCGCTTATAAAACCAAATAGTAGATTATGTGTTTAGTATTTTTTATTCAGATGCTCACTTAGAAAATTGTCAAATGTTATAATTGAATTGATAAATCATTTTTGTTTTTGTGTTACAGTGCCACCACCACCACTACAATCACAGATGTCTTCAACTTCCGTTCTCGATTCCAGCACACCGCTGAAAGTCCCTCTACCCTCGTTCTCAACCTTTATGGGTGGAAGTGCCTCAAATCACCCTGAACCCACCGTCCACCATTACGCAAACGGAAGTCAGCAAATGCCACCATCCAATTCACTTCCACCGTACAACAATGTTTATCACCATCAATCATCTTACACCCAACCTCATTCGAATTTCCAGCCCGGATTTCCTAATACATCGAATTATAATTCAGCTTCTTCTTATCAGTATGACTCAGTGGCTAATTACTTCAGGAACCATCCAAATTTTGCCCATGAATACAATACAGTGGCAGATAAGGAGAATCTCCAAGTGCTGGACGCTCACAATATGCTAAGCGCCGACTTCCTGGCAGATACATCCGTTGGAAAAAATAGTGACAGTGAATCTAGTGGTCAGAAAAGTTCGGACAGTAGCCCTTCTTCCGTCAAATCTAAAATTTGGTCCATCTCTGAAATCATTGGATCCAGCATGTCCAAAATCAACGAGAGTGATCTAGGTGCTTTCGCGCAGTCACTTCTGGGAGAAGAAAAGTGACCATCAAGTTTCATTCTACCTATTTTCTCAGTCATTTGCTACAAACTTCAACTCTGCTATTTATATATGTTTAGCTTGTTATTTTTGTTACTAATTATATGCATGTTGTTACTGAAATAAAATCTTTAACATTTTTTTCACATCGTTTTACCAAAGTATTTGTTTGCCAAAAGAGACTAATAATGCAATTAGAAATTTTGTTAAGAATTAAGGGTTATTAAGCACAAAAAGACCAGAGTGTTTCTTATAGTTCATCTCGACAAAGTACGCCTGTAATCCTACTAAAAAAATCTAAATGATCTCGGTTCATGGTATCCATCTAATATTTTATCTATCAGTGTTAGTCTAGCCCCGGACACCAGGACAAAAATCTCGTCATTATATAGAAATAATCATAAAATGTCTCAAAACGCAATAAATGGATACTAAAGGAAAAGTTTGAACTTAATTTGTGGTTACGTTGTAGCGGAATTTGCCGTCTTGTATCCTGTCAGTTTTTTTCAATGGAAAAAAGGATTTGAACATGTCGCGCTGAAGTCTCGAGCGTTTTATAATGACGAAAAACAAGTGCACAATCAAGTAAAGGACTATTTGTCTTTGTTAGCGATCCTGTTACTTTAACCCCTTGTCAAATCGCATTACTTAAAACAATGGAAAGGGGAACATTTCTATTTGATGTGGGTTGATGATTCCTAATTTTTTTGTTGTGGAATTTGTAACTTTTATGATATTATTTTGAGTTAAGAGTGTACAGAAACTTTCTGTGCAAGGAATAATAGTCGTTTAATAAATTCCATTCTTCCGAAAATTAAACATGAAATACATTTTAAGCCAATGTGCAGTTTGAACAATTTTAATTGATTTTCATTTTCAAAGAATAGATATTATATGTAGATATAGATCTGTAGCCTTAAGTTTTAATGACGCAATAAAATTTGCTTGTCTTTGAGGGGTTAACGTTGATGTTTGCAAACCAAAATGGAGATGACATATGTTGCATTAAAATAATTAAAATGACCCAAAAATTACGTAAATTTCAGAAAAGAATATGAAAGAAATCATAAAAGTTGTAAAGAGCATTAAGTTTTTGAAAAATTGAATTGAGCATATGGCTCTATTAAGACCATACACGAATAAGCAGATGTCAAGAATTTTCTTCATTCATGACTTCTATAAATCAAGGTGTCACGGCATTAGGTACGGCACCTCATCCGGGTCCTGTGGCTATGCAATAACTGTCAATCAATCATATACCCTATCGGGGTGAACTGAATCGCAGCCAAGACGTTCAATCATCTTTTATCTTTCTGTGGTAGCTACTGATCAGTGGTTAAAATTCTATAGATTCACAATTTATGTACAAATATAACAATCGAAACTTATAATTGTTATGTTTTAAGAGGTGGTTAAAATTCTACAATAGATTCACAATTCATTGAAATGTGCCATTGTTTATCTATTTTTAATTTTAGTTCATTTTAAATTATAACATGATTATCTCAGTATATACTATAGTAATTTATTCATTTTGTTAAAAAAATAGATAACATATCAATTAGACATTTTCTTTCTTATTACAGGAATAGATTTGATGAAAACTGTGTATTTGTTAAAATTCAGATCAGCTAGAGAAGACGACGAGCTCAGACAATGTATAGTGTAGAGATACCGGACATAATCTTCGTCCAAACACCTTGAAGTGAAATCTGCCGGTGAAGGATGTGGAAACGAGAAGAGTTCCTGTACGGACTCTGGTATCCGTTTACTGCATCCTAATGCCGACTTAATTACTGATGAAACCTGAAAAAATGGGTCAACTCCCTATTTAAATGTATTCTTAATTGTACAAATATTGTGTGTCTTAGAAATATGCCTTTAAAAAAAATATTTGTTTAAAATTACTTGGTTTTTTATGTTTGCTTGTATTGCTTTTAAATAAACGTATTTTTTCTAATAATTTTATATAGTTAGAGAAGCATGTTTTGTAAAGAGAGAGAGAGAGAGAGAGAGAAAGAGAGACAGAAAGAGAGAGAGAGATTTCTTTAGAGTATTTTATCCAAATATTACAATTCGCACACTCAATAATAAAGTCGATAATACGGTTGTTTTTAGAAACACATTAGCTAAAATTGACAATGATTTTTAACAAGATTAGGATGATACCAAATTGATATTGACCGCTGTTTTGAGACCTAAACAAAACTCAAACAAGAGTCCGCGAGCTCACTACGCCACATTCCATCTAATTCACTTCTTGAAGCAATTAGCAAAAGAGCGATCATTTCCAAAAAAGATCCACGAGGTCAGCCGTTTGACATGCCACCCATTGGCTCTGCATGGCTAAAACTGATTCCCAAAAGTCACAGTATCATTTACACTGACAAGATGCATTATATCGTTTTGACAGGATAAAACACTCGCAAACCCAATATGAAAACAAGAAAGAATTTAAAAGTCATATACAAATTAAACAGTATCTGTTGATATGCATGATATTTTCGAAGAGAGATTCTCGCCATATTACATGTATACAAGATATTTTACAAGATATTTTATTTACAAATCAAGGGCCCCGAGGGGCATTTCAACATACACATATGTACAATTTAAACATTCTTTTCTCTTTTTTTTAACAATATAATTCTTTTTAACAGTTATATAAATGACCAGGTTACATGTAAACAAGCAAATTCAATTGTGATCCCCCGCTTTCGGTTTCTAGTGGGCAAGCATGCATAATTTACGGCATATTGTGTCAAGGACCCCCCCCCCCCCGGAATTTACCAGGTAAAAAAATGTATATACTAAAACAAGGAAAAAGTTACCATGGACCCCCCCCCTGGAAAACGCTGACCCTCCCTGGTAAACGCGAATATGTGTAAAATGGGTATGAAATGTGAAAGTTTTGAGGCAATAGAAGGCATTTTCGCTACATCCCCCCCCCCCCCCCCGAAATAGGTTTTTGACGTTTGGGGAAGGTTTTTTAAAAAAAAAGAAATTTCTGGGACAATTTTTTTTTTGACTATAGGTACCCCCCCTGGAAAAAATTTCAGACCGCCGGGCAAGATACCATAATTTACGGCATATTGTGTCAAATATGAACGTCCTCTCATATGTCAATCAAAAGAAATGTCTTTTTTTAATTAGATCAAACATGAAGGTGAAGGTCAAGAGGTAGAAAATCCAAGTATGATGTGAAACATCTTGTCACAGGCAATGCACATGTTAAATATGGTAGCCCTATCTCTTCTCAATCAAAATTTATCAGGTAAGATAACATTTTTTAAAAGAAAGTCAAGTTTAAGGTCACAGGTTCAAAAAGCATCTTTAGTATATTTGAAAAGGTCTTAAAAGCTTGCTACAGGTAAAACACATGTGTAATACGAAAACTCCATCTTTTCCTTTTCATAAGTTATGTCCAATTTAAATGAATTTAAAAAAAAATCTGAAAGTAGGTCAAACTTCAAAGTCAAGGTCACAGGGTCAAATTCATAGTATATTTGAAAAAGTCTTGTCATAGATAATGTACATGGCTGCATGTGAAATATGAAAGCATTATCTCATCTCATTCAAAAACTGCGACAAAGGCTAAGTTAAGTTTTTTTGACAGGCTGGAAGACGGACAGACTGACAGACGAATGAGATTTATGATTCATCTCACTAGCGTATTTTTTTGGCATTACGTCAGATTGGGTGTTGCTAAAACGCGGAACGGAAAACGGAACGGAAAGCGGAACGGAACGGAAAACGGAATGTATTATTTTGGATTAAATCACTTAAAATTTTGTCATGCTCAGTCTCTTATTTACGAAAATCGACACACATAGCAGTCACCTAGAATCGAATTTGCACGAATTGAAAAGAATTTGACAAGCAAAAACACAAAGAGAAGACAATGTTTGGTTCGGGGGGGGGGGGGGGGTAAAACACAAAAAGAAAACAATTGTTTGATTCGGGTAGGGGATAAGTTCCAACTCCAACATCTTTCAGTACAATTTTTTTTACACTAACTTGAATATACCAGGGACCTATATACCAACTTAGTATACATTAGGTTGATTACATTAGTTACTTGAAAAAAAAACATTTGTAGTAAATACTAGGGGGGGGGGATATTTGAAATGAACAATGGAAAGAGAAATAAAATGTTAAAATAAAATTATTAAGATTACGTTTAGGGCAAACCTTTACGGCAAGCTCGAATAAACATCTCTTATACACACTGGTTATTAAAATTTTATTCAAAAGAGAGTCGCTTTCTATATATTTAAATTCTGGATAGACAAAGTTGGAAAACTTTCATGTGGTAGATATAATACAGAATATTTGCATTCAATGAAGTTAAATTTTGTGTGTATTTTTGGGATGTTATCAAAATTGACCCTTTTGTTTTCAACGGTAAGGTTGAGAAGTTGTAATAGGATTCCCTTTTTAGTCCAACATATATAAAAGGTTTAATAGAACAATTTTTAATGTTGCTGTGTACTACACAGACCCCCCCCCCCACTCCCCCTTTTTCATTTCGACACTGCGTTTTAAATCTGAATATCATAAGTACTTTTACAGACATTGACACTGGAAACAAATTGAAAGAGACTATGTATAAAAAATTCCAAAATACAACAAAGAAGAAGGTATGGTTTTAGCTATATTGCGCCCTAAAAATGTAATGACATCAAAAAGTTTTGAAACTGGCTTAAATATTAGTTAAATAAATGACTCTGATAAACCAGGAAAGAATATGGCGTGAAGGTTTACCATTCTGCAAATATGACGTCATTAATGCGATTTAGCATTTCTCGATTATTTTCTAAAGCAGAAAAAGCCTCAAAATGGCACATTTAATAAATTTGTTATATATGTCCACAGCCGTCGCCCAAGTTAATTTTTTGATTTTTTGTGCAAAATTCAATAACAAATCACATATCTCAAGATCTTTGTGGGCGATGCCTGTGGACAATGTTTTATGAAAGAAAATTCCATTGAAAATTGGTGACTTCTGCAACTTTTTAAGAAAAAAAAAAATACACAAGTTTATGACGTCATAATAAGCATTTGAAAACACATGTGAGAAAAATGACTTGTATGATTTTTCTGCATTGAATTTCAATTATTTAAA